CAGTAGAAATAGAGTAACAATTTCAGAAATATCAGATTCTGCAGGCTCTCATTTCTAACCTTCCCATGCCCAAGATCCTTCCACATTCCTCTGGACCAAAGTCCTAAAGGATATAAATAGTAACAAAATCACCTGTGATTTTTTTTTTTTTTTTTTTTTTTTGAGGTAGGGTCTCATTTTGTAGAGCAGGCTGGCCTTGAACTCACAATGTAGCCCAGCCTGGCCTTGAACTCATGACAATCCTCCTGCCTCAGCTTTCTGAATGGTGGGATTACAGACATTCACCACCATACCTGCTCTCTCCCCTTGTGATTTAGAATAGATGCTGGTGCTAAAATACTTATGGTAAAAAAAAAAGATCCCAAACAAACAAATGATTCTGAATCGCCTACTTGACTTTTGGGGATCAGCAATTTGGACTGGCGGGTACCAAATCACCTGGCTTTGGGAAATGTGAGAAATGATTTCGAGGTCAGCCAAGTCTTAAAGATCCAATGTGTATTAGAGGCTTTTAAAACTTCTCTGAAAAAATATGATCTAATTTTCCCAAAAGAACCCAGAATCCTTCGGGTGGATTCAAGCCTTCTAGGCTATCTCTAGGGTGATTCTAGAATTGCTAGACTCCAGGGCATAGTCGAGTTATGCCTTTCCTCAAAGGATTACACAATTTTTGCCAGACTCCTGGGCTGTACCATCTTATATTAACGACTGATTCCCAGGATAAGTGCCTTGCAGAAGGAGATATTTCTGAAGCTTTTCCCCTACAGCACCAGAGTGTCTGGCACGCTTAAGATTCAATCAGTTCTTCATCTATAGTCAACACACAGGAGCTGTTAATACAAAATCTTTAATTATACCTTAAAACGTTAATATAACGGAGGGTATAGCTCAGTGGTAAGAGCACATGCTTAGCATGTGCAAGGCCCTGAGTTTGGTCACCAGTACCAAAAAAAAGTTAATATAATTATGTGCAATTGTGGATTTATACTGTATCTCTACACAAATACATTTGCAAATAGACATATAATTTTTAAATAAGCAATATGCAGATCCTAGCTCTCATAACAAAGTCATCCTCAGTCTAATAGAAACATATTTCATTTACAACAAATGTGCGCAGCTTCCTATAAACAATTGCATGCAACATCAAACATAACACATACTTGCCAGCAAAGATGCGGTTAAGACTAGAAAGTAAAGCCTCACCCTACCCAGGAGCAGGCAGTGTCGGGCTGTGGGGGAGCAGGCAGGGCCTCTTCTTCGGGGGACCTGCGATCTGGGAGGTCTGCACGGAGGCAGGAAGAAGAGAGTCATGGTTTCCTTTGTTCAGACAGGAGAGGGAGGGGCTGGGGATTTAGCACCGCGGCACAGCACCCGCCTGGCAAGCGCGAGGTCGTGAGTTCAGTTCCCGGTACCGGAAAAAAACAAAAAACAAAAAAAAAAAAAAAAAAAAAAAGAGAGGAGAGGGAAGCAGGAAAGCAGATCAAATCACAGAAGGCAGGATTTGGGCTGGGGCTTTAGCTCAGGGGCACAGCGCCTGACAAGTACAAGGTTGTGAGTTTGATTCCCGGGACAGGAAAAAAAA